CTCTACCTAGGGCAACATAGTGAGACTCCATCTCAAAAAAAAAAAAAAAAAAAGAAAGCAACTCAGCTGAACATGGATTATGCACCATAATCCATGCTACTCAGGAAGTTAAGGTAGGAGAATCCCGGGAGGCCAGGAGTTCCAGACCATGGTGATAATCATGCCTGTGACCAGCCACTGCACTCCATCCTGGGCAAAATATAGTGAGATCCTATGTCTAGGAAAAAAAAAGAAAAGAAAAAAATAGAAAATGACTTTCACATTGGGGAATCTGACTTATTATTAATAATTATTTTCCTTGCCTGTGTGCATATTAAAAAATTTTTTTTTAAATATGAGGTATATCCAATAATATCTATATATTGGGTGGCCATAAAGTTTGTGTACAATACTGCACATGAACTTTATGGCCACCCTGTATATTAAGTTTCATTAAAAAAGTAATTTCTTTCTTGTTTTTTGCAGTTTTTGGCCAGGGCCGGGGCTGGTACCCTACTCCTTTGAGCCACAGGCACCACCCAAAAAGTAGTTTCAATAATAGCAAAATAATCATAGAAATTTTAAGATATTTATTAGGAGTAATAAATGTTTTTTTGTTTGTTTTTTGAAACAGAGTCCCACTATTTCTCCCTCAGCCACAGCTGAGGCAACCTCAGACTCTTAGGCTTAAGCAATTCTCTTGCCTCAGCCTCCTAAGTAGTTGGGACTACAGGCGCCTGCCACAATGCCCAGCTATTTTTTTTGTGGCAGTTAATCATTGTTGTTTAGCAGGCCCGGTCCGAGCTCAAACCCACCAGCTTCAGTGTATGTAGCTGGCACCATAACCACTGTAATATAGGCGCCAAGCCAGGAGTAATAAACTTTTATTAAAATAATCTTATCCCAATTATTTTCTTCTTTTCAAGGTATCACACTCGTCGTAAGAAACTGAATCCTCCAAAGGACAGATGATACTGAGGTTTTCCAGGGAATTGGAGAGAAATGTGCTTCATATGTCATTTGAGAAAATGCAATCTGGTATATTCATTAATATGTTATATAGTAAAATGGTAATAATAAAATGCCTTTTCATATGTCAGAATGTGTACTTCTTTATATATATTAGGCCTGGATTTGACATTGTCATTTAGAGAAACTCGTTTTATCTCATTTTTCTTTTGCCATAGTAAAGTCTTTCATTTGCAGACAGTCCCTAATTTAGGATTTTTTTGAGTCTTTGATGGTGCAAAAGCCATGCACATTTAGTTGAACATTGATAAATTATATGAGATACTCAACTCTTTTTTTTTTT